TGAGGCATTCATCTTTAACTAGATGACTAATCCTAGGAAGAGTATAAATGAAAACACTATTTATGCATTCATTAAAATTCTCTCCACTACTTTAGAGGTATGAGACAGTGGTTAGACTTTAACACAATGTATTTCTTCTGAGTACTATTTTTCTAGTACAAAAGAGAAAAAGGAGAAAAACAGGAAATGAAAAACAAATGAGAGACATATAGAAAGGAAACATAAAAAACAGGAATAAGCCAGAGAGGGAAAGAAAACAGAGAGGGCAGGAAACAGAAAAAAGGGAATGAGGTGGGAAACAGAGAACAGGAGAGTGGAAATAGATTTTAATAGACACGGGTCATGAATCTCTTTCAACAGTTTTACCTGCATCCTACATATTTTGAGAGATTATTGTCTTTAGCATCATTCAGTTAAAAATATTTTTCTAACTTTTCTTTTGACTAATTGTTTGGCCCACAGGTTGTTAGACTTGGGTTGTTTCACTGCTGAGTGGAAATTAAAAAAAAAAAAAAATTAAAAGTGCTTTCTGTTCCAATTCCATTACAATCAGAAAATATACTTGGTAATATTTAAAACTTTTGGAATGTGTTGACACTTTCTCTGCAGCCCAATACATAGACTTGAGGAAAACTGTAGATTCCCACATTGTGTGGGGCAGGGATGTTATACATCCAGCAGGTCAAAATCATTCATTGTATTTCTGACATTTCCTGTAACCTTATAGACATTTTTGTTTACTTATCAGCCATTCCGTTAGGAGTCTTAGCACCCCCCACTGCGACTGTGAATATTCCAGTGTCTTCTTTGGGCTCTGTCCATCTTTGCTTACTATGCTTTGAAGCCGCATTATGTCTGCATAACCAGTTACTACGAGTCAGTTCCAAATCATGCGTCAGAGCAGAACTGTGTTCCAGAGGGTTTCCAATGGCTGATTTTCCTGAAGTAGATTACCAAGCCTTTCTTCTGAGGGACCTCTCAGTGAACTCGAACTGCCAACCTTTCGGGTAGCAGCAGAGCATGTTAACTATCTGCATCGCCCTCAGACTCCTACCCACCACTTGTCTGTCAGTTTGTCGTTCTGTGGTTGCTGGCACGTTGCTGGGAGCCTGGAAGCTATGCCACCCGTATTTCAAATATCTGCAGGGTCATCCATGGTGGACAGGTTTCAGCGAGGCTTTCAGACTGAGGCAGGCTTGGAAGAAGGAAGGGGTCACCCACTTCTCAAAGTACTGGCCAGTGAAAACCTTATGAATAGCAGTGAAACACTGTGTGATACAGTACAGAAAAGCTCTATGCATGGCCCTGAAACTTTGTCCCATATAGTGCCGGAAGACGCGGCCCTCAGGTCAGAGGGCGCTCAAGATGCAACTGGGGAAGGGCTGCCTCCTCAAAGCAGAGTTGACCTTAATGACGCGGTTGGAGTAAAGCTTTTGGGACTTCCATTTGTTGATGTGGCACGACTCAAAATGGGAATCATTAATAGTTTGAATCATTAGTAGCAATTATTCCTGCATAAAGCGGTATGTGTTATCACAAACCTTCTCTTAGAAGTGGGAACACACCTCCGACAGTTTCGACACACGTATTTACCGTTTTCCCTTGAACTCTCCACACTCTCACCCCGCCGCCCCTGTACCCCCGGCATCGCTGGGGCTGCCCCAAAGCAACTCGTTCCTACATTCCCCAAACGGGGTCACCGTGATGGACGCACCGCTTCTAACTTAAGGAGTGCTGGTGGCACAACTGCTAAGCGTTCAGCTGCTGAAAGGTTGCTGGTTCAAACCCACCTAGTAGCTCCATGGAAGAAAATGATGGGCCCTCGTAAAGATGACAGTCTAGGTGCTTGAATAATGTCTGTATCTATCAGCACAACGCTGGTCCCTATGAGGCGGAGGTTAGGATGCCCCACCTGCCTAACTTTTCCAAACTGCTGCGTCACTCCATCATGGCCAACATCGACTCCTCCTGCTCCCTCAGTTCTCTCCCTTCTGTCTCAGGGTTCCGGGTTTCACCGTAACGTGTCCCAGAACTCACAGACTGCCAAGGAGGTGGCTGATGTGGAGGCTGGGAGCCTGGCCCGTCCCGAGCCCGTGGGTGGGGCTGGAGGACGCTCCCCACCCAGGCGGTGGCAGGGCGTGGCGGATCCAGATCCGCGGGTCAGATGCCGGCTGCTGTCGCAAGGCCAGAGGGGAGACGCCGACGAGCCACGCGCAGGACCAGAGCAACAGACAGAACCTTCCCAGGACGTGGGCACACGTGCCCTCGGGGAAGTGAAGGGTGGTGACCGGAGTCACGCCTCCAGCCAGGCGGGACTCAAGATGCATCCCATCTAAACAGGCATAGAGACTTGTTGTTGTTGTTCTGTGCCGTGGAGTCAGCCCTGACTCATAGCGACCCCTCCTTGGGTTTCTGAGGCAGTATCACTACGGAAGTAGGATTGCCCAACCTTCCTTCCGAGGAGTGGCTGGTGGGTTTGAACCGCCAGCCTTCTGGTTAGCAGTCAAGTGCTTTAGCCACTACGCTACCAGAGCTCCTGGCATAGAGACTAATAGACTAGGATTTCCAATCCATCCCCAAATGGAGGATGACGGCTGGAAGGGCCACACCAAGCAATTCGCTGCACCGCATCAGAAACCTCAGTGGGGGGCACTCTACTTCTGTCACATGGGATTGTTAGGAGTCAAAACCCAACTAACAGCATTCAATAACTTATAGCTTAAGGTTTTTAGTCATTTTGTTGTTGTTGTGTAAAAAGAGGATCAACAAGCTAAAATATACACAACCAGGTTACACAGGTGTTTAAATCCTAAAATATCAAAAAGTAGAAATCACAATAAATCATTTTAAAAACTTTTTTTTTTTCATTTTAAAAGCATCTTTAATAGAAATGTAATATCCCAGTTCTCTCTCTCTCTCTCCCTCTCACACACACACACACACAAATTCTGCACATTCTTCAATCATAGTTATGTGTTTCCATCCTGGGAATTTTCTCCTAGTGTGTCCTCTACCTAATAGACTTTCATTGGGCAATCAGCCAACTTGCAAATAATAACCAAGTCTTTACTTATTCACTGTTATAGTTCAAGTAAGCAGCACAGCGACGTGCTAGCTCCCCAGTGTTCTACTTCCCCCACAGAAGAGCACCGAGGGAGGATCAGGCGGAGGTGACAGACATGGAGAGGAATCACCTGTCATTGAACTCTGAGAAAAACACTCCTGTGGGTCATGAGGAGCTAGAGGGGGGCACGGCTGGGAGTAGACATGGACTGAAAGTGGAGAAAAACACCTTGGCCATGGCCCCAGGGGTCAGCTGTAGAACCTGAGAAATGCACTTGCATGGCTGTTCTGGAGGTGAGAGGGGTGGTCCTTGAGTGCAACTAACTTCCTCCATAAAATACCACGTGCTGGTTATAGACCACGATCGGAGAGAGAAGGCAGCTTCGCACAGTGAGGCCTACCTGCCCAAGCCAGGTCACTGTCTATGGTAGCGCCTGAATGGGAACATGTAAGACTTTGACCTGGACAGGGTTTCCTGCTTTCCTGCCTTGGAGCTGGCTGGCCCAATCCTTCCAACTGTTCAGGGTTCTGTTCAAATACAATCTTTACCACACAGGTATACCCTGTTGCTCTCTACCCCGTAAAGTGCACACCTTCACTCTACATATTACCAGATATTTTCTTCAACTATTGGTGACTTAATTCAGAATATAAGCTACATGAAGGCAGGGTATTGGAAAAAAAAAATTGTAATATATTCCTAATACAATAACCTCGAATTGACATTTTCATAGCCTTTGAAAATATGCCTTTCTAATAAAACTACTCATTCAAATGTATAACATAATGACCACTTCCATGGAGTTAATTTTTCATGAAACTATAAAGGTATCTAAGGCAGTTTATCTAAATAGTATTTCACAAGCACTTTCCACAATCATATCATGTGATGATTCTCACGTGTCCAGTAGAAAAGGGCATTGTTTAGCTACTGACATGAAGCAAATTATTGTCTTTTCCAACCAAGGGGTCAGGAGCTTCAAGAGTAAACATTCAGTGTTATGTTAAATAATCTGGTTCCATTTTTTGATGCTTGATTACTGACCTTTGAGGTACCCCCCCTCCCTCTTGGTCCTGTGCTCCACATCTAGGCAAGCTGACTGAAAAAACCCAGTGTTTTCGTTTGGTGCCACCAGAAGTCTGAACCACATACATGTACCGTCACACCAGGCGAACCCTCTAACCAGCACAGACACCCAAGGAACTCACCCTCCCCTGCTCTCATTTTGCAATAAATACTGGGTGTGAGGCTCCATCAATCCTGGTGTCCAGACAAAATTCTGACGGGGCTTCTGTCGTATGCTAAATCATGGTCCTAAGAAGATATGTTCAACCTTAACTACTGGTAACTGTGAATACGATCACACTTGGAAATAGGGTCATTTGCAGATATAATTAGTTAACATCAATTGGATGGGCTCTAATTTGTTTTACTGGTGTTTTTATAAGAGACACAAAGAGACACACATGGAGAATGCCATGTAAATACAGAGGTAGACTGGAATGATGCATGTACAAGCCAAGGACTATCCAAGATTATTGGCCATCACCAGAATCTAGGAGAGGCACAGAGCAGATTCCCCCTTAGAACCCTCCACAAGGACCCAACCCTGCTCATACCTTGGTTTGGACTTGTGGCTTCCAGAACTGAGAATAAATTGCTGTAGTTTTCAGCCACTCAGTTTGTGGCACTTTTATTACAGCTGTTTATTACAGCAGCCCTAGGAAAATCAGAGTTCATTCTATTCCTGTTGATTGGACACTGGTAAACTAACAAAATGATTTTAGAAGACATAATGTTCCTTGTTTATGTACAGACACAAAATCCATTGTGTATGTCCTTTCTTAAGGGGAAACTCATAAAAATTTATCTTTTTATATTATTTCGCTGAACTAAAGACTTAACGGGACTCTTTTCCCTTTGTTGTTTATAGAGCATACACCTTGTATCTATTTTCCTGTGTGCAGTTTTATGTCACAAGTTTCAAAAAGCCCCCTTGATTTATGTATTCTCCGACTTTGTGCACTGGAGCAATACAGGGAAGAAATGCAAATTAAACACACAAATTGGGATGAAGTGGGTGGAAGAAAAAAATAACAGGAAGCACCAAGTTAAAAACTGAAAGATGTTAAGCTGGAACTTTGAATGAAGACTTTGCCACATACATCACCAGCTGCCACTGACTTGACTTTGACCCATGGCAACCCCATGGTCGGAGTACAACTGTGCTCTACAGTGACTTCTAACACCGATTTTTCTAAACTAGATCACTGGATCTTTCTTCTGAGTTGTTCTAGGCAGACATGAATCCACAAAATTTCAGTTAGCAGTTGTGAAGTTAACCATTTGCACTACCCAAAGACTCTGCCATATACTTAACATTTATGTAATTTCTCTCTGAAATGGATTCTCTGATATCTACTGAGGTGTTAGCCACAGTTACAGCTTCCCAACACTCATTACATTTGTACATCTTCTCTCCAATATGAATTCTCTCATGAATCAACTGGTATGAACACACGGCAAATTCCTTACCACACTCATTACATTTGTATGGTTTCCCTCCAGTATGAATTCTTTGATGTTTCACAAAGCTTGCACTTTGGACAAAAGTCTGGCCACATTCGTTACATGTGTAAGGTTTCTCTCTAGTGTGAATTCTATGATGAGTTGTAAGGCTTGATCTGTGATTAAACACTTTGCCACATACATTACATTTATATGGTTTCTCTCCATTATGGATTCTCTGATGGCTGGTGAGATTTGAGCTGCATTTAAAGGCTTTGCCGCAATCAACACATTTGTAAGGTTTCTCTCCAGTGTGAATTCTCTGATGTTCTGCAAGGTTTGAATTATTGATAAAAGCCTTCCCACACTCATTACATTTGTAAGGTTTCTCTCCGGTGTGAATTCGGTGATGTTTCACAAGGTTTGCTCTTTGGATGAAAGCCTTGCCACACACACTGCATTTGTGTGGTTTCTCACCGGTATGGATTCTCTGATGTTTGGTGAGAACGGAGCGCCACCTAAAGGCTTTGCCACACTCACTGCATTTGTAAGG